GGCCACAGGCAGGGAGTTGGATGGGAAGCAGGGCTGCTGGGATAGAACCAGCGCCCATATGGGATCCTGGGCGTGCAAGGTGAGGACCTTAACCACTGCGCCACCGCGCCGGGCCCTAGTATCGCTATTTTAAAAACTGATGGTGAGAGACAAAATGGAACAGGAACAGTGCATTTCACAATAAGAGGCATGAGGAGATAGTTCTTGAACAGGAGGAATGCCTATAATATTAACACACTCTGATAAGCAAATGCTTGTGTATTTATCTTGATTATTCCTTTTAAATATCTTTAAAATATTTTCCACTACACTTACATGGGCGTATTAATTTTAAATGCATTTTAACAGGGTAAAAAGTTTATATAGAAAGAATCTCACACACAAAAAAACACTTGACAGTGGAGTCTAACATATCTTAGTGGCAACCTTGACTCACCCCCTTACTATATTTTTCCCAAAGAAATAATGATTCAGATTTTAGTTCTCATGGTCATTTGGCCTTCCGTACATTTAAAGTCATTAATTCTATCCTCTTCCAAACTTATCTTGCTCCTTTTTTCTCTCTTCCCTCCTTTCATCCTAAAGTATGCTGGACAGACAGAGACAAACAGGGTGAGGGGCAGGGGATGAGCTACGGAAAAGGGAGACGTCAACAGGAAGACCCAAACAACCCAAACTGTCACTGTTAGAGTGGGAAAGTGTTTCTTATTGCCTCATCTCTCACTTTGTCTTTACACATGAAGTAACATTAGAAGTGTGGCCCACTTAACATTTAATGACTTTAAAATCTGGATTTATTTAATGCTATTGGGAAGGCAGATATACAGAGATTTACTGCCCAATAGCTGCAATGGCTGGAGCTGAGCCATTCCAAAGCCAGGAGCCAGGAGCTTTCTTCGGATCTCCCACGCGGGTGCAGAGTCCCAAGGCTTTGGCTGTCCTCGACTGCTTTCCTAGGTCAAAAGCAGAGAGCTGAATGGGAAGTGGGGCTGCCGGGATTAGAACCGGTGCTTATACGGTATCCCAGTGTGGTCAAGGCGAAGACTTTAGCTGCTAGTCTATCGCAATGGTTCTGACTTTAAAATCTAAAGCCTTGCTTTGCTTTGCTCAGAACTAAGTTTCCATCTGATATATGGTTCAATGATACCATCATGACTGTTAGGGGAGAAACAACTCACTCATGGAGATATTACTCATTTAGCCCTAACACCTTGGGTAAGAAAAATAAACGACCAACTTTCTAAGTCTAGTTCCACACAGCTATCTCCAATGTAAGTGTTATCTTGAAGTGTTGTAGGCTTTACTTCTGGAAAGACTCTCAGAGACCATTTTTATACAGTTTCTCCTCTTTGGGTTCATTCATTCATTTGGCAAGTACCTACTCTAGGGATTACAACCTCTGTGCTAGTACCATTGTCACAGTGAGCCTTGCCCTCTGAGGGCTTAAATCATGCAAGTGGGTGAGACAGTGAACACAGAAGTAGTTATAGCATGTTACATTGGAAAAGCAGAAGAGGGTCTAGGGGCTGAGGAGCACTAAGTAGGGAGCACTTGTAATCTCAATTGGTCTAGTCTCCTTGAGAGAATGACAGCTAATTAAGTCTTCAAGAATATGAGCAGTGAAGCATGTCAGTATGGTAAGAGCATTCTAGGAAGATGGGCCAGCTTGTGCAAAGGTCTCAGGAAAATCTGCTTTGCACATTTGAGAAACAGGAAAGACGGTGTGGCTGCAGCACAGCATAGACATCAGGGAGGGGGAGAGGATGTCAGAGAAGGAACAGGAGCTGCAGGTCCTGAGGGTCTCCCACAGGGGCTGAATCACAAAGAGGTGGAGCTGGGAGTTGGAAGAAACTGTGAGTGCTATGATTGCATCACATCACGTCCATTGCTTTCTTGAGTCAGCATATATGATAGATAGCAGAAAAGGTTGCAAATGAGATCAATTACACCAGAAGGTATTGGGGCAGGTTTAAACCTAGTTAAGATGCTAGGGCCTCATACCAAAATACCAAGATGGCATTTGAGACTCCTGGCATGAGCCTGGCCCCAGCTGTTGTGGGCATTTGGTCAATGAACCAGCAGATAGAACATCTTTCCCTGTCTTTCATCCCTCTTCTTCGCTTTTCACTGCCTCTTTCCCTCTCTGTGGTTAGCCTTTCAAATAAATACAAACAAATGAACATCTTAAAGAGTATAATGTCCCCCCAGCTGTAAGCAACTGCCTAGGTTACATTGTACCTAGGCAATTGTTACACTGCTGGGAGAAAAGGAGCTGATGGCTGGTGGGCTTTCTGGGCCTGGCAAATGCCAAATTTGTTAACTACACCTGTGTGCCAGCATAGTTGCCTATTTTTTTTTTTTAAGATATGTGGGGGGGCAGATACTGGCACACCAGCAAAAAGGGCCTAGGACCTGCAGCCCAGCATGTGTGGGACCCCAGCAGTGGGGCCAGGCCCCAGAATGGCCTCACACAATGCCAGAGGACTCGGCTTGGGGATCTGCCATACCAGCTGGTTGGCTTGAGGGCTAGGAGTGATGCAGCGAGCTAGGCATGATCATGCCAGACTGGGCTGTGGCATCCATCAACACACATAATACTCCATTGGGGAGGCAGGTGGCAAGCAGGCAAGGGGCTGTGAGGACTCCCCTGCTGGACCACTGCTCCCACTGGTGAGTGGTAGATCTGGGGTGTGGGATAGACTAGGCTGGGCAGGGCTACAAAACCCATTATCTTTCACGTGAGCTGGGTTAGGGAGATCCAGGTTGGGCTTTGCTGCGGCATAGACTAGCAGATGCTGGGACTGAGGGCAAGGTCTGTCAGGCTAGACTGCAGACCCACCTGAAAGGTGCAAGATCCGGGGCTGGAGGTGAGCCTTGTAGGGATACTGTGGGCACTCCTCTGCTGGGCTGAAGCTTCCTCTCGAGAGCAGGACTGGGGTTGGGCACGGCTGGACAGTCTGTGGATGCCTGCCCGGTTGTGGGCTGGACAGTGGGGTCCATAGAGTTGAGCCTTGGCTCCAGTACTCAGATCGTTGAAGTCTGTGCAGCAGATGGTATGTCCAGATGCACATGTTGGGCATAACAACCACTTCCCTGAGGCCTTCTGAGAATGTCTAGTACCATGGAGGGCAGAACAAATCGGATAGGTCTCCTGGTCAAGCTCTGACAGTGAGTATCTGAGTGAGTGGTGACTCTGAGGTGGACTATGTCAGTCAATTGACCTTGGAAGGATTTCGTAAACCTTGGAACAATGAGTTCAGCATCATTTCAGAACTATTGAAGGTACTTGAGCAGTACCATGGGAGCATGCTCCACATAGGGGGCCTGTGATGACATTGGGTGAACATCTCCCATCCCCAGGCACTGATGTGGTTGAGTTGTTGTGAGCAGCCCTCTCCCCACTTTCTGCAGATCAAGCGAGAAAAAAGGAGATTGGAAACAGCTGTCTCATCCTTGACGCTCTACACCCTAATGTTTTGTTCACACGGACATATATCCTTCTTAACTATGTAAACATCATAAAAAGAAAATAAACTTATTATTAAAAAAACCTATAATGTCCCAATGGACCAGAAGGCACACTAACCTTTTTTTATTGGTGATTGAGTGTTGCTTAACTTAGAGCACAGGACTACATGAAAACAAACATATACAGCTGCTTTTTAGTGCTGATCAAGAGTTAATGTGGATTCTTTTTAACTTTCAGGGGAAAAAAATGGAAATGTTCCTGCCAATAAGGAAAATAAAATATGCGAAAAAGTTTGCAAATGTAAGTAAGGTACTTTTATACATATGCTCCTTTCTGGGAAATTGTAGTGATTTGCTACTAAGCGCTCCAGGCAGAGACAACAGCCCGTGCAAAGCCAGGGAGCCAGAGTGAATGGAGTACACTTAACTGGGGGAGGTCTCCATGGAGGTTACCGTAAGTCACATTAAGAAAGTCACATTAAGATCCGGGTCTCCCGGATGGGTGCAAGGGCTAAAGCACTTGAGCCATCATTTGCTGCCCCTGGAGTGCTCTGTTAGCAAGCTGGGCCAGAAGGAGGTGCTGGGACTGCAAGCAGCCCTCTGATGTGGGTCATCCTACCGCTATGCAATGCCCACGCTGATGTTATTATTTTAATTTCAGAGCAGAAAATGCTTCTCCCACTAAAGCAAAATCAGCTTTAACACAGAAAACAGAACTTTCTTTTGGAGTTAGATTAATGTCACAAAGAAACTTGAGATCCCTTGTTATCGATAAAAGTATAAAACTAAAAAGTTTAAAAAAAATCTATTTAAAAATTACTGTTAATTTAGTCACTTCAGCCTTTGCCATTATGGTTGAGAAACCTTTGAAACTGTTGCACGTGGAGATAACGGACGTATATAATAAATTCTGGTATATGTAATACAGACGCACATGTATATGTATATATCTTGCATTACGCATATAAACATTTTGTATGTTGCTTATTTATGCGTGCATCTTGTTCTGAGAAGCGCCATTACCAAATCAACGGCCCCAAACACTCTCACCGCAATCCACACCCCCTTCAGCCGCTCACAGCAACAATCCCTGACATTTTCAGGGTTGCGCTCACCCGCGCTCAACAGGGAAGCCTGAAGATCCCGCCCGCAGGCTGAAGATCTGGACTTCGAGTCCCCTCTGGGCTCCCCGCTAGCGCTGGCCGCTCGTCCAACTCCCGCGGCCGCCGAGCAGTACGGAGTCCCAGGACCCCAAACACACCTGACACCCCCAATTCAGGATCGCGGCCACCGGGCCCGCAGGCCCGAACCCCGAACGCCGGGGAGCTCCGGAGGCACAGTCCGGGCCGGACACGGCGAGCATGGACGCCGCGCTCAGGGGGCTTGTCAAGCTCAGGCCCCGCCACGCCCAGAAGCCGACCCTAGGCTGTCCTTCGCGAATGCCAGCGCGGACGCGGTCCACCATCTCAACTAAGGCCGAGCCAGCGTGAAACAGGCGCAACACCGCTGCCCGGCTGGAGCAGGCTGAACGAGTGGAACCCGGAGCCGGGCAGCCGACGGAGGCCGGCTCGGGGCGGGAGCGCCTCCGGCCCGGCCTGGCCGCGGGCCCCGGGCCTCCCAGGCGGGGCCTCTGCGCCTGCGCTCGGCCTGCAGCCGCCGGTGCTCCCGGCGCGGCCGCGCTCTCGGCTGCAGCGCGCCCCTGCGTGTGTGCGAGCTCCATGGGCCGCGGCGAGAGCCAAGATGACAGATTACGGCGAGGAACAGCGGAACGAGCTCGAGGCGCTCGAGTCCATCTACCCCGACTCCTTCACAGGTGACTTTTCTCAGAGGGAGCCGCGTGGGGGCCGGGCCGGAGCGGCCGGGGCCCCGGGGCCTCCCTGGCTGGGGTGGGGAAGGGACGGCCTGAGGGTGCGGTCACCGCGCCGTGTGCTCTCTCCGCCTTCTTCGGTTATCGGTAACTCGGGGGCGCTCGCGCTTTGCCGCAGTGTGGGGGTCATGCGGGGTGTCGGGCCCGGGACGCTTCAGTTTGTGTGGAACTAACCCTCAGCAGTCTCCCGACTTGGTGCGCGCTGCTCGGCTTGCCCCAGGTCCTTTCCGGGAACAGCGTGGTTCCTATAGTTTGCCTACTTTCTTAAAAAAAAAATTGGGGCGTTCTGCAGAATGCCCGTTCAGAGTGTGGCCCCCAGTCCCTTTTTACCGTGGATTCGATCGCTGGTTGGCTGGCCTGGGACACCTTGCAGCAAAGCAAGGGGGATGGAGCTCCAGGACCGGCGGCAGCTGTTCTGGGCTGCGGGCCTGGCACTGGGGTTACCTGCGGAAAACTGTTCCTTCTCTTTACTATTCAGGCTTCCCAGACTTCAGATCCTGTTCCAGCTGGGATGGGAGGAAGCAGATTTCTTGGGGGATTGGAATAACTTAAAACAGTGAGAAATTAGTTGGGCATAGTAGAAAGGAGAGAAAATTTCTATGTTAAACTTTATGAAAAGTGATTTCCAAAGTTGCAGGTTAACTTGTATTAGTCCGGCTTCTCTCTGATTTAAGAAGTCGAAAGGTAAAGTCTGTCTTGAGTGTGCAGGACCTAGCTTAGCAGGATTCGGGGTCCCGCCTCCTGGAGAGTTGTCCCTCTGTGAAAATTCAGAGTGTGAATCATGTTGCCTTAAATCCTGCATCTTCTCTCTCTTCTTGCTCAGCTTAGTTTCCTTGACTCCGCTTCTTGACGAATGCTTGCAACAGTAGCAGCTTCTGCTCTGAGTGGCCAACAGGCTCAGGTCTCGCCTGTCTCCCAGCAGCTCCAGTCCTGTTCTTGCTGTCACCTGCCATGCAGCAGTTTTCTGAGGATGCTAAGGGGACAATAAAGAGGGGTTTAGGAGTGTTGACTGGGTAGCTGTAACTTTTCTGTTTTTGCTTCTATGTCAGTGTCTAAATAAAATAGAATGTAGGGTGGCTAGTTGATTGTATCATGATGTCTAACTGTTTCTGCCGCTTTGGAATTATAATAGATACAGACTCTGTAGGCACAGTCAAAAAGTGCCATTCTGGCACTTTTTCTGAGCCTGGCCTGATGGCTCAGTGGCTAAGTCCTCGCCTTGCCACGGCCAGGATCCCGTATGGGTGGTGGTTTATATTCCAGATGCTCTGCTTCCCATCCAGCTCCCTGCTTGTGCACTAGAAAAGCAGTCGGGGACGGCCCACAGCCTTGGGACCCTGCACCGACATGGGATACCAGGAGGAGGCTCCTGGCTCCTGGCTTTGGATGGGCTCAGCTGTGGCTTTGTGGTCACTTGGGAAGTGAACCAGTGGATGGAAGATCTTACTCTCTGCATCTTCTTCTCTCTGTAAATTGGCCTTTCCAATGACAAATAAATAAATCTTAAAAAAAAAAAGTGCTGTTTTGTTCTGTTCTCTTCTTTTCTTTGGACCTAATGTATGCCTGATTGAACCCTGCACATTTAAGTGCTCAAAAAATACTGCTTTTTTTTTTTTTAAAGATTTATTTTATTTTTATTGGAAAGGCGGATATCCAGAGAGGAGAGACAGAGAGGAAGATCTTCCGTCCGATGATTCACTCCCCAAGTGAGCCGCAACGGCTGATGCTATAGCCGATCTGAAGCCAGGAGCCTCTTCCAGGTCTCCCACGCGGGTGCAGGGTCCCAAAGCTTTGGGCCGTCCTCAACTGCTTTCCCAGGCCACAGGCAGGGAGCTGGAAGGGAAGCGGGGCTACCGGGATTAGAACCGGTGCCCATATGGGATCCTGGGCGTGCAAGGTGAGGACTTTAACCACTGCACCACCATGCCGGGCCCAAAAACTACTGCTTTTTAAACACTACAGCAGTCTGGTGAATATTTCTGATTGCTCAAGGCCTGGAAGCTTTGCTGTAGATCAGCATGTGGAATTCTTGTCAGAGGCACAAATGCTTGTAGTGTTCTGACCCTGGTTAAGTCGGGGCTGAATCCTTAGATGCAGTCAAGTGTTCTGCAGTAGTGTGTGAGCCTTTCTGTCTAGTTTCTGGCTAGGACCCCAACAAGCTTTGCAAAAAATTAAATGGAGATATCTTGAGTTACAGTTCTTAGAGAACTTTGCCTTCGTTGTGGCCAGGTTCCCTATAAAGCTTCGAGGAAAAGGGAGAGGAGTTTGAAATACGATATTTCTGTGTTTAGGAATTTGCCAGGTATGCTGTTCTAAAGCCTTTTACGTTTCCATGCCAGGAATGCTAATGGGTGGTTTTCTAACTTCATTTCCAGTCACATTTGGTAAATGTTCGGTGTCACTGTTGAAGGAAGTAGTATAGTTTCATCTTTAGTGAATGACTGAGTGGTAAGAAAGCCTGGACTATCCTGATCCCACATTGTATTTTAGCAGTGTCTCCCTTGACAAGGTCCTAAGGTAGTGGAGTCTTTTTATTTCTATTTCTGTGTCAAAATTGGCTATGGGTATTTTTGTTGGAACAAATCAGTGGCATCAGGTTAAATGTAGGGCAAGTTCCTTAACTCTGTGTGCTTTACAAAGAGAGATACATGATTCCATATTTGCTGCTTCAGTAGCTCTCTGTAAATACTGTTTAAATGGTAATTGCATCTTACTGATGAGGATGAAGTCATATTATAAAAGCTATTTTTCTAAGACAATATTGTTTGAAAGAACACACATTCCCTGGTGACCAAAGGAACTTATTTTATTTTTTATTTATTTATTTTGTTTTTTTTAAAAGATTTTATTTATTTTTTATTGCAAAGTCAGATATACAGAGAGGAGGAGAGACAGAAATATCTTCCGTCTGATGATTCATTCCCCAAGTGAGCGCAATGGCCAGTGCTGCACTGTTCCAAAGCCAGGAGCTCTCCCAGGTCTCCCATGTGGGGTGCAGGGTCCCAAGGCTTTGGGCTGTCCTCAACTGCTTTTTCAGGCCACAAGCAGGGAGCTGGATGGGAAGTGGAGCTGCTGGGATTAAATCCGGCGCCCATATGGGATCCCGACGCATTCAAGGACAGGACTTTAGGTGCTAAGCCACCGCGCCAGGCCCAGAAACTTATTTACAGGCGCTCTTGTTCATTTTGAATACCCAAGATCTTTGTATATATCTTAAGTGTACTTTTCAGCACAGCTATGTCTAATACCTGGTTTTGACAGATCCTTAATTCTGTTTCACTGCTGTTGTCCGTCGTATGCTCTGACAGTTGTGCATGCCTTCTGGTTGCTTCCACCATAGGCAGCAACCTTACTTGTGTTCCTCAAAAGCATAGTGATTCACTGAGAGTGGTACAAGTCTGGCGTTCATAGTGGTGTTTGATCTTTCCTCCACTTAACCCATTTCAGAATAATGTGTTGCACAGGTGTTGTTCTTTCATCCAATTTGGGAATCATCCATTTTTACAGATCCAGTGTAGTAACTTTTCCATCCCCATTTTGGTTATGGTTCAGCTTTGCATTAGTTTCTGCTGTGACAGAACATTTTGTTTAACATTGGTTTTTAGAAAGGTAAAAGTTTATTGCTTTCGGGCCCGGCACGGTGGCGCAAGTGGTTAAGGTCCTCGCCTTGGATGCCCAGGATCCCATATGGGCGCCGGTTCTATCCCGGCAGCCCCGCTTCCCTTCCAGCTCCCTGCCTGTGGCCTGGGAAAGCAGTCGAGGACGGCCCAAAGCTTTGGGACCCTGCACCCACGTGGGAGACCCGGAAGAGGCTCCTGGCTTCGGATCGGCATAGTATCGGCCCGTTGCGCTCACTTGGGGAGTGAATCATCAGGTAGAAGATGTCCCTCTCTGTCTCTCCTCTCTGGATATCCGCCTTTCCAATAAAAAAAATAATAAAAATAAATCTTAAAAAAAAAAGTTTATTGCTTTTGCACATAAGAGTTCTTGTGGCTTTAATCTCAGAAGTCTTCAGGCTCTAGGCAAATTCTGACAAGCTCTCTGTTACCTTGAGATGAGGTCTCACATTCATGGTCAAGATGACAACCCCATTTCTTTTCCAGGCAGAGTAAGACATAAAAGAAGTAAAAGCAATTTCTTAACAGATTTCCTGGAAACTGTCAAAAGACATATATGTACTCTTCTTGTGGGCCAGGACTTAGTCATTTTTTGAGGGAACAGGGGTTGGAAGGTCTTTATTCTTCTCAGGTGAGGGGAGAGTGGGTTTAGGGGCTGTATTAGCAGTGTTTCCCAGTGCTGTTTGCCTTGTAGCTGTTTACAGTATTTCTCTTTGTATTGGAAGGAGAGTGTAGTATCCTTGAACAAATTATATAAAATTTCCAAGCCCCAGTTTCCATATCTGCTTAAAGATAAAAAGGTAATTTTAAAAAATTTGTAACTGTTACACAAATGTGGAATACTCTACTGGAAGTCTGCATCTTTTTTATGGATTATTCTACTATGGCTTCATAATTCCTTGTCTTTACTAAGATTCACCTGCTTGTGTGGGCATAACCACGCAGTGGAAATAGCATCTCAAAACTTTTATTATTTAATTACTTATTAGAAAGGTAGAATGACAGAGGGAGAGACAGGGTGGGGAATGAGGAGAAAGAGAGAGAGAGAGAGAGATATCAATCTTCCATCTGCTAGCAAATAAAATAGGCTTTGGGTTATGCATACATTATAGCAGTGGTTCCCACTGGTAGAAAACTGTTGCTATTCATGGGTGACTGTGGTACAGCATGTCTCCTAGAAGACAAGGGAGTGGCTACAACAGGGAGGGACAGGATGAACCATCCTGTCCTCGATTTATTGACACTATTGTCTCTTGAGTTTGTTACTACCTCTGCTCTGATGACTTTTCTTTCTTCTTATTCTTCAAACTGAGAGTTCATTGTAAAATTGATAGTGGTTTTTATTTGCACTACAAAGTGCTTTTTACTTTGGCTTTTCTGTGGATTATCCTCAATTATTAAAATTCTCTTTGGCTCGATTTGCCTATTCCTCCCACCCCCTTTTCTCTCTCTCTCTCTTTTAAAATTTATTTGTTTGAAAGGCAGAATTACAGAGAGGAAAGACAGACTTGCATTTGCTGATTTACTCCCTGAATAGCCACAAAGGCCAGCATTGGGCCATGCTAAAGCTTGGGGATCAGAGGAATCATCCCAGTCTCCCACATGGGTGCTGGGGGCTTCGGACCTTCAGCTAGCTTCTGCTGCTTTCCCAGGCACGTCTTCAGGGGTCTGGATCAGAAATGGTGAAACCAGAATATGACCTGTCTTCTGTGATAATAGAAAGCTGGTGCATCAGCTGGAGGCTTCAGCTAACACTGTACCATAAGACTATCACTTGCCCATTTCTGATATCCTATTTGATGCCCACTTTCAGCTAAAGTACCAACATCCTTGAAATAAATTGTATCTTTTTTTTGTATGCCTCATTTATGTTATTGCACATCTTCAGACTACAGACTCACACCATCATCTTGCTGTCATCCTATCATCCTTGCTGTCCTGCTATTCCCATGGCTATCGACCTAGTTCACAGCCACATTACCTTCACCTGATTAATTGTAATAGTCACCTACTTAACATGCAGACTTGCTGGAGTCCAGCTCCAGCTGAGTTTGGAGCTTGGGAAGGGTGCGTGGAGTCAGCGATAAAGAAAGACACAGACACTGTACACCTGGTGTGTTCTCACAACAGCTCAAGAAAAAGCTGCTCTTTTTATTTACTCAGACACCTCACAAGCTTCTACACAAACAACTAACTGTTCTATTTTTACTTCAAGACTAAGTTGGCATGCACAGACATTTGGTCATTCCATCTGCACTTCAAGGCTAAGCAGGTGCCCTAAAGAGAATTCTGCAAAATACCGTATTCATATTCTTCAAAGCAAGCCATTATTCATTCTTCAACAGTACCCATGGAGCGACAGCCAGGACTCTAAGGCCAAGGCACATGCGATTACCTGCTAATCAGTAGTACATTCCTACCATATTTCTATTTCTACAGTTTACCCATTATTTAATGGGAAAATAGGTTACAAGGGAAAAAATGTAAAATCTAAAACAAAAGTTTCAAATGTTAAATCCCCCTACAACTATAGACTCTACAACCCCATAAACAATGAAACAGTAATCAAAAGCATTTTTCTTTAATTTTTCTAGCTAAAAATTATAAAATTTGCTAAAACAATTACATTTTCTATGCTCCAAAAAATTGCAAAGACAGGCTAGCCTTTGAGATAATAATAACTATGTTTATTGCCATAGCAGTTTTAGCTCTCACTCCCATCACTTCCATTACTTTGTAAAATTCTTATTAAGCATTTCCTAGAAGCCATGCTATATGTCTGGGCCCAATTTCAGGGCAGTGGGTAGGTACACAATAAGGTGTCCAGAAATGGTATGGGTTTAATTGTACTCCTGTGCACAGTTAAAGGCCCACTCACCAAGATATTATCAATAACATTAACTCTCAAGCTCACATTGGTGGCAAAAGCCATCTCACAGGGGCAAACAATGCCTCGATAGATTACAGATTTCTTAGTGGGGTTCTTGAGTTTCCATGCAAAAAGGTGGCAAGACTGCGTCAAGGTGGTCAGAGAGAAATCCTCCGGGTCCTGCCAAGCAGCTGGAAGCTCCCCTGGGCCCTGCCAAGCACGCGAGCTATTCTCTTCACACCTTCATGCCATCCACACCTACTGCACGGACCCCAGCACAGACTTGTTTCTCTGCTATTATATGCTGTTTCTAGATTTACCTTCCTTTGTTTAGAAATAGAATGCTGACCATATTATTGGTAAAAACTATTATTGTCCACACATAAATATTCATCTGTATTTTCAGCAAGTTTTCTTCACTCATGTGTAGGCTAGTGTAATATTTATTATTCTCCCTATATTCCTTTTGTTTTCTCTCCTTGTGCCTTTGTTGCCATGGTATCCTCAAGAACATCCCCATGTTTGCAGTAGGCCTCCTGTGATGCTTATCCTAGCTCAAATAACTTGCCTGGAGTTTCTCAACTGGAAGCATTTTTTCTTATTAACTAAGTTCTAAACAGTTTATTTAGTACAGTCAGTTTCTAGCAGTAGAATTTTAGACAAATTTTAAATTCATCTCTTCAGTTTCCGTATCTATAAATTTTGAGTAATTCCACATTAAATTGCCTCTGAAACACACTTTTTCAAACTTGGACATCTCTGACATGTGTTTGTCTAAATTGATTCCATGTTGTAGTTGCAAACGTTTTCGCAGTGATATGTGAGATAAAGTGTATCTCCTACTTGTTAAGGTCTTCAACTGGGTGAAATACAGTAATGGTGTAAAATCATGGCCTTGGTGTCAGAAATAAAGGATTGACATGTAAATGCATAGGACAGACACTCGGTACATGTTACCTGCCTTTTATCAGGTTTGTAACCTACAGCCCCATGGAATCCTAGATGATAATATGATGGAATATCATTTCTGTACTCTAAATATTTACATTTTGTCATATATGGATGCTATAGTTGGTTATGAAAAGACAGAAGAATGAAACATATCACATTTATTTTGTATTCATTTGTTTAAAATGAATAAGGTAGATCATATTATAAAAGCTTTTTTATACTGTCGCTTGCGTCATGAGTGGTACTGCCTAAGATCTATTAAAATATGAGTCTAATCAATTTTCCTGGCAGATATCTTTCTAGCAGATATCTTTCTAGCAGTCAGGGGTGTTCATTGTTGCTTCAGATATGTTAAACTTCAATTGAAATGAAGGTACCTGTATTGAAAGTATTATTGATCATGTATATGATGGCAGCTTCTGTAATTTCTGCATGGCCAAGGCCAGATAGTTTCCAATGACTCTGTTGGTGATGCCTTTCATTTCAGCTAGCGTGTTCAGGTTGCTGCCAACCCTGCCAGTGGGCAATGCCTGGCAGCATAGAATAAAACAGAGGCTTTTCTCATAGGCTTAGCAACTAACCCTGGGGCTTGGAGTTCTTTTGTTTATAGCTTAAATGGTTCTGGAAACAGGTTTGTTTGTTCGCTTTTTAATATCTTGCTCCTTTCATATTATTAGTGTGGTCCTTCTTTCACTGTGCCAATTTTTATTGAGGTTCTATATGCTACCAGGTGGTGATCTGGGTGATCTCACGGAGTTTTTATAGTCTTTTCATTGGGAGATAGAAGATAAACAGTAATATAGCACCAGATAGATATCAGAATAATGGATGAAGAACTTTATTTATGTGAATGTTGACTTTTGACTGACTTATTCAGTTAATTGCATGCAATATGATGTTTAGATTCAGAGCTAATCCATTTTATAATTTTATAAAGAGGGTAGCAGCTCAGTAAATGTTTGTGAAAGAGTCCACAAGAAGCACAAAGTGTAATAAATCCACAGTTACTGTTCATCATAGTGATTCTCAGTTATAACACAGGTTATAGTTCGAATAGTATGTGGAAAGTGGAATTAAAAGGTAAGTTAATGTTGGAGTACAAAATTGAGAAATTCATACATGATTATTTGATATGTAATTTCCATTAATTTTTTGGAAACCCTCTCATATAAATATATAAAAAAATAACATGGTTATCAGTCAGTTTTTTTTGTGAGAAACATCAAAGTTTTTTCTACCCTTCCATTTGGATTATTTTAAGAATGTACTTTTCCAGGCCCAGCACAATGGCATAGTGGTTAAAAGTCCTCGCCTTGAATGTACTGGGATCCCATATGGGCGCCTATTCTAATCCCGGTGTCCCCGCTTCCCATCCAGCTCCCTGCTTGTGACCTGAGAAAGCAGTTGAGGATGGCCCAAAGCCTTGGGACCCTGCTCCCACATGGGAGACCTGGAGGAGGCTCCTGGCTCCTGGCTTTGGATTGGCTCAGCTTCAGCCATTGTGGCTGCTTGGGGAATGAATCAATGGACGGAAGATCTTCATTTCTTTACCTCCTCCTCTTTGTATATCTGCCTTTCCAATAAAAAAAAAAATCTTAAGAAAAAAAGAATGAACTTTTAAAATAGTAAATGATTTGTTATAATTGATTTGGTAAAATTTCAAAAGGGTTATGTACTATTGGTGTCTTTTTCTAGGTTAAAGGCAGTCCTCAATTTAAATAGAAAGTTGCTGGCTGTTTTATGATTTTGATGTTCTGTTCAATTTGTATTTTTGGATATAGAAATACAGGCTGAGTGCCAGGAATAAGGATTGAGCATGATAATTTGCTGATAGGAAAAGCATGTGCCTTAGGACTCATGCTAACAATGTAACTTCTCTATGTGTGTGTGTATATATATATGTATATATATATATATATTTTTTTTTTTTTTGCAGTATTATCAGAAAAGCCACCCAGCTTCACCATTACTGTGACATCTGAGGCAGGAGAAAATGATGAAAGTAAGTTTTGTAAAAATACTGGTGATTTCTCTAAGCTGGTTTCTCAGGAGTTTCATTATTGTGCCGCCATTGTTAGATATTGCTGGGATGGAAGTCCCAAAATGCTGTTAAGACTCTACATTAATGGTGTCTGCTTCTAGTTAGTATTTACAGTATAAAAATGATTTCTAGAGAAGTAGAGTGACAGTCAGCATGGTATAGTATGTCACAGAAAGCTCAACTTAAAAAAAAAAAACACAAACATTAACCAGAGCAGCAGGAACAAAAAATAGATTTTTGTTCAAAATGTGACTTCGCATGTAAACTCATTTCAGCAGTTGTGTATTGTTGGTTGTTTTTGTCTTTGGACGTTGATGTTTTTCAAACATTTGCTGTAATAAATGAGGTTGAATATATGCTTGTCTGCATGGTTTTCTCCATTTCTCTTTAGAGGAATATTCTTCTATTATTTCAACATATGTATATATAAAACTAGATAAAAATGTTGTGTAACCATAGAGCCATTAAATAGAAATTTGAAGTAAAGCAGTTCTAAAGTCAATGCAGTGAAATAAAAAAAATTTTAAGTTAAATTTGACAAAGGTTTGGGATTAATGATATCTGAAGAACGTTTCCATATTTCATCATTTTAGGTACTACTGTTTATAAATTGCTAACTTAGAGGATTTTTTTTCACGCATTAGGCTGGTGAACTAAAATTCTTCTGGGGGCAATCAATAATGGCCAATATAGTGTTATTACTTGATAACTATAAGTCTGTGTTCCATAATTGAAAATGAGGTTAGCATTCAGATATTACTTAAATCTGAAGTAAAGGGTATTGGATGCAGTTACTACTGAGTTGATGACTCGTATTCTTTCACAAGATAAATGCTAAACTTGTCTCTGAAGAATTAAAACAAATCTTGCTTTGACTACTCTTCAGGAAGCTCCCTTTGGAGGAGAAGCTCGTGGCATCATTTTGGCTTTATATAATTCCATTAATGTTGCTGTAATGGTGTGCCAGTATTATTAATAAAATAATCCCAAGTATAATTTTCTTTAAGATTTACTGAAATACAAAATACATTTCTAGCATCCAAATTCTGAATAGTAGTTTCATTGGCATAATAGGATAACATGTCTGTAAAGTAGTTCTGTATAGGCCACTATCCTCCTTTGAAAAATATTTTAAAGTTATTTCTTAGAGGAGATTCCTAGAGTGTACTGTTTTTTGTCTGAAAACTTAATGCACTAACTAGTAGAAAAACAAGCGGAGAAAATGAAGTTATGATTTCTAAAGAAGGCATTATAAATGGTTATTAAGAGTGAGTCTCTTTACCAATAAAAATGCAAGCTGAAATTAAAATATTTTATCTTCCCCCCAAAAATTGTTAGTATTGGTGAAGAGAGAACAATCCACTATTGAGAATGTGAATTTTACTCATGCTCAAGAGAGCCAGTGGAATCATGAAGCAGGAGATTTAGAAAGTGTTTATACTCCTTGATTCAATGGGTATTTATAGGATATTCTAAGGGAAGTATTGTTATACCAATATAGTACATAGTAGATGTAATTATTGTTTTCTGTTACTCAGTAAACTGATATTCTTAAGAGACATCTGCTTCAATTGAACATTTACTGAACTGGAAAGACACTCGTATTTGAGATCATACAGAATTTCGACTTTAAATTTTAAATCAATAAGTAATTACATATATTTAATGCAGGTTGATATATGTGGATCTATTAGTGAATTGATGAATTGCACAGCAGCCTGAAACTGCCACTCAGGATGCTCGTATGCCTGATCGGAGCCCTTGTTAGTCACAGGAACAGTTTCCCTGTGCAGTTCCTTGCCAGCAGGCCCAGCGAGCCCAGCAAGCTCAGCAAGCAGTGAACTGTGGCTCAAGTGCTTCAATTCCTGTCACCCACCTGGGAGAGCCTAATGGAGTGTGTGATTCCTGGCTTCAGTTTGGCCCAGCCCTGACTTTCGTGGCTGTTTGAGGAGTAAATCAGCAGACAGAAGCAGTCTATCTCAGTTGCTCCTCAGTTTGTGTTACTCTGTCTTTCAAATCAACTAATACTTTTTAAAAAGTTTTAAAGAGATTATTATGTGTATGTAATCGGGTTAAAATGTACAAAGAATGATAGTTTGAAGTATGTTCTTAGAGATGCTTTGGTGCTATAATGGTACTATAATGGTAACCGACTGCTTCCTAGTGATGCGACTGCTTGATAGAATTGTTCCTCTTGTATTTTTGCATTTTCTATAATGAATGTTTAGTACATAGAGTCTAAGTTTTTTGATTTTTTTTAACAAGAACTTGTTAAAATTATTAGATACATTTTTTAAAGAAAATTATTTGAAATTATTTGAAAGGCAGAGGTTCAGAGAGAAATATATATATAGATTTTGTATCCACTGGTTTACTTCCAAAATGGCTGTAACATCCAAGGCTGGGCCAGGCCAAAGCCAGGAATCAGGGGCCTCATTTAGGTCTCTCACATGGGTGCAGAGTCCCTGTGTAATTTGGGGTCAGCCTTTCTGCCCTCTGAAGCACATCGGCAGGGAGCAGGAGTGGAGCAACCTAGACCCAAACCACGCCCACATTCAATGCCGACATCACAAAGGACTCTTAACCCACTGTGTCATAACACTGGCGCCGATGAAATGCATTTTAACATATACTTGCATGGTAAAATTCAGTTGGCAGCTTGCAGTTTAAATACTATGTGTTAAAGAATATCCTTAGAATACAGTATGAAACAATTATAAAATTTGATTGATAGGGCTGGTGCTGTGCAGTAGGTAAAGCTGCAGCTTGTGAAACTGGCATCACCTATGGGTGTCGTTTGTTCTAGCGCCTCCACTTCTGGTCTAAGTCCCTGCTCATGGTCTGGAAAAAGCACCAAAGATTGCCTGGTAGGTCGTATATTGTGGTGGTATATATTGTTTACATTAGTGATTACCTGTTTGGGCTCTTAGTAACTCTGGGTTTTTCTGTAGGGAAATGTGTTTTGCTACCCTCCATTGACATATTATGAGTTAACCACTGTTCAACAACCCCTGTGCTTTTAATGTATTCACCTCATGCTTTTATTCTTGTCTCCTAGCTGTCCAGACTACTCTCAAGTTTACATACAGTGAAAAATATCCAGATGAAGCTCCTCTTTATGAAATATTCTCCCAGGAAAATCTAGATGATAATGATGTATCAGACATTTTAAAATTGTTAGCATTACAGGTGAGGAAATAGCAATTTTATGTTTGTGGAGGAATTTTATATTGGGTTTAAGTACTGTAAGTTAATTTGAAGAGTTAGAAAATGTTATCTAGGAGCTGGTGCAGTGGCTGACAGGCTGATCTTCAGCCTGCAGTGCCAGCATCCCATATGAGCAGCGGTTCTACACCTGCTGCACTTCTGATCCAATCCAGCTCCCTTCCTATGGCCTGGGGAGGCAGCAATGGATGACTGAAGTCCTTGGGCCCCCACACCATGTGTAGAAGCTCCTGGCTGTTGACTTTGGATCAGCTCAGTAGATGTTTTATTCTAAATGTGGTTTTGGTATGGTTACTTGGTTTGGTCCCACAGGTAACTAAAAATTGCAATTTGCAGTATAATTAAAACTTATGTATTATGACCTGTTAATAAGCTAGTTGCTTGCAGTTTTGGAAAAGAACTTGTTGTTGGTATTTTTCTATTCCCCTAAGTCTCCAAACAGAGTTAATAGTTTAGGAGCCTTCCAAGAGGGGAGGATTGTCTGGTGTTGAAAAATAGTTACTGGGCCCAGTGCACTAGCCTAGCAGCCAAATCTTCATCTTGCACATGCTAGGATCCTGTATGGGTGCTGATTCATGTCCCATTGATCCCACTTCCCATCCAGCTCCGTACTTGTGACCTAGGAAAGCAGTCAAGGATGGCCCAAAACCTTGGGATCCTGTACCCAATTGGGATCCTATACCCAGAGGAAGCTCCTGGCTTTGGATCGGCTCAGCCCCAGCAGTTGTGTCACTTGGGGAATGCATCATTGGATGGAAGATCTTCCTCTCTGTCTCTCCTTCTCTCTGTATATCTGTCTTTCTAATAAAAATAAATCTTTAAAAAAAATAGTTTCTGTAAAGTTCTTACTAGACTAGTTGCATTGTAGAGTCTAACTGCTAATGATAGTTTAGGCTTGGCAGATAGAGCTCATTCTTTTTTTAAAAAGATGTGTTTATGTGTTTGAAAATCTGAATTGAAGACCAAGAGGGAGAGAGCCCTTCTGTTGACTGGTTCACTTTGCAGGTGGCCGCAGCAGCTGGGCTGTGCACAGCATAGTGACCTTGCAAATGGTGTGAGTTGTTTCATCACAGCTATTGAATTAAGAATCTTTTTTCACACTTGCTAAAATTAGATATTTTGATTTAGGAACAGAAGTTGATAAGATGAAAATGGTGTAGGTTTCATATTTTTTGAATACTGGGGATGTGGAACTAGTAGGACTTTGAATTGTCTAATATCTACAAGAATAATTATTTTTTAACTTTCCTTTGGAATACTTAACTTTTATAAAGGATGCCTAGTGTGCTTTATTATGTAAGTGTATTGAGCTTCAGATTGAGTAACTAACACAGATACTACCTCTGCTCTCCTGGGTTTTATTCTCTGGTAAGGCATGTCGATTGGCAGACTGGAAATCATTAGGCATGACAGGTGAAGCACCTGTACTTGTGTGGGTGGACACAGATTTGGAGAAGCTTTAGCAGGAAGATAATTTTTGAAGAATTTGGCAAGCATAAAGGAGTAAAGGATGTAGGGCACTTTCACGAGAAGGAAACAATCTTGTTAAAAGGCATTGAGTGAAAGGGGTTAGGGAAGATGTGTAGAAAAATAGAGAGGGAAGGAAAGAAAGGAGTGATTGCCTCCTGGAACTTGGATTCATGCATACTTTAAAACTGGTACTGATAAGTGATAGAACTAAATAGGTTACTTCTTTAGAAGCATTGTTTAAATGGACTCAGAACTATGGGTTTGGTCCTGATTGGTTTAGGGAGTTATTTGAGGCAAGAGATAGGCCAGATCAATTTGAATGTACTTATCTTTTTGTGTTTATTCAGTTGTCTAGGGAAGTTGGTGTCAGGGGCACAGTTATGTAGGTTTTAATCTGATCAGTTAGTAGTTTCTTACTTGGGCTGGGTAATAACAGTGTGGATAGAGAATTATCAACAGATTTAAATGGTATTTAAGAGGCAGTGATTGAATTTATATAGGATGGAGATGTTCGGATGAAGTAGATAGTATCATCTTGCTAAGTTTGAGAACCAAGGAATGGGTTTTTCAGAGTGGGAGTAAGGTGATTATAGAGCATGAAATCATCTAGTGCATGGTTTTTTAAAAATGGTTTTGGCATTCAGGAGAAAGGTTTGTTTTGTCTTAGATTTAAGGTTTTAGTAGGAAGACATTGCTGAAAAGCCGCACTGAAGACAGCTACAGTTGATAGCTTTATGCCTGGTACTCAGTTTGGGCCTAGAGAGTGAAGTACCCACTAAAATGCTGCCTAGGCCAGCCGTGTTAAGAAATGCTTGATAATCTCTGCTTCTCAGATTGAGTTTAACTAGTGTAGTTGAAATTTTTGGCTGTTGGTTTCTGTTTCCATTGAAACCCTGTCTTTGTTTGGAGAATAGGTATTGAATCATATCCCTTTCTTGAATTGGGGATGCTTTTACACTTGGTTTTAAACCTATCCAGTCTAAAACAAAGGTGAAGATAAAATTACAAAACTACCATGGCTTTTCTTTTGGCACAGTGGCCTAAAATACTGCCTATGAGACTGGCAGGCTGGCATCTCATATGAGTGCCGACTCAAGTCCTGCTCTTCATTTCCAGTTCTCTTCCCTGCTAACATGCCTGGCAAAACAGGAAAGATGGTTCAAGTGGTTAGGTCCCTGCAACCCATGTAGGATACCAGGTAGAATTCCCAACTCCTGGCTTTGGCTTGGCTCCACCCTGGCTATTGGAGCCATGAATCAGTGGATGGAAGATCTCTTTCTCTCTTTAATGCTGCCTTTCAAACAAATAAATAAATACTTTATTTTAAAGTAGCATTTTGAATGTACCTTCATTAATGATATGATGTATTAGATATAGAAAAATTATCCTGGCCTAAAAATTCAGGATTGTTTTTTAGAGGTGTATTTATTTGAAAGGGAGTTAAAGATCCAGAGAGAGGATCCCTTTCATTGGTTCACTCCCCAAATGGCCACACTGGCCTGAGTTGGGCCAGGTTAGGGCCAGGTGGAAGCCAGGAGTCAGCAGTTTCCCCTAAGGTTCTGATATGGGTTAAGGGCCAAGGTATTTGAGCCATTCTCTTCTGCTTTTCCAGGCACTTTAGAAGGGAGCTGAAATGTAAGTTGGACAGCTGAAGCTTGCACTGGCTCTCAGGCAATTGTTAAAGTGCTGAGAAAGGACTAAAATAATGAAAATGTCCTGAAGAAATGATGACGCTAATTACTACAGGAAAAGGCTTTCTGAATTTGCCTGCATTATATATATGCCTGCTCTCTTTTTAAGTGACCATTTGTCCAACTTCGTGAACAATTAAAACTAAATTGGTGATTGTGTTATAAAATGTTTGGGACTCATTGGAAAGCTTTCTTTCCCATTGATTTTTGTTTTGTTTTTTGTTTCTCTAAATTTCTCTCTCTTTTTTTTCTGTTAACCAGGCTGAAGAAAATCTTGGTATGGTGATGATCTTCACTCTAGTTACAGCTGTGCAAGAAAAGTTAAATGAAATAGTAGATCAGATAAAAACTAGGCGAGAGGAAGAAAAGAGACAAAAGGAGAAGGAAGCAGAAGAAGCTGAAAAGGTTATTTGAAAGCTTTTCTTTTTAAACTTTAAATATGTTTTTAGTTCTTGTTTGGTTTGGTCTTGGTAATTTCTGTAATATTTTTGGAAATCACAAAAATGAGTAAAAGTAAGTTTCAGTACAGTTTGGTAAAAACTAAATTTTAGAAGACCCCATTTGGTTAGATGCATGCCTTGAGTAATAAAAACCAGTTACCAAAGATTTGTGAATGTAATGCATTTATATTAAGAAGTAGATATTATTTCACCTATAGTATGGATTTCAGAATTCTGAAGTTTCTAAATAAGAATATTTCAATCTGAAACAAACTAGAGGAGTTATGATTTAGTGTTACAGACTGATGTGATTTCAAAGTATAACACTGCCAGCAGCAACTTTCAGTGGTGAATAACTATGGTGAAAATAGTGACTATTGAGTAGTTTATTTTTGTAATAAGAATAAAAAACGGATGTTTCCAGAATAATTTATCAAAACTAATGAGTAGCAAGTGCAGATAGAAGTTGATTTAAATGTTTCAAGGTTCAACCATTAATTTTATGGTCTGTTGTTTGTACATGGCTGTGTTTGGAAGGTGCTCTATTGTTAAAGTGCTGTCTGAGTCATTAACTTGGTCTTCTTTGACTTTTCTAAGAAATTATTCCACGGCACACCTGTTACAATTGAGAATTTCTTAAGTTGGAAGGCCAAATTTGATGCCGAGCTCTTGGAAATTAAAAAGAAACGGATGAAAGAAGAAGAGCAAGCAGGAAAGAATAAATTAAGTGGTATGACCACCTCCGCTTTTTTTTGTTCTCCATACACTCTCCTCTGATATGTTTTATGTAGTAAGAAGGTCATTGAACAGACTGTGAAAGAAAAGACCAAAAGAGAAGACGTGTTTACATGATAATATTTTCTCTGCAAGTCATTATTGATTGTCTTTTGTGTGTTTTCTTTGAATAAATACTGAGTTGGTAGATCCTGAGATGCAGAGACATTCAGGGTTACAGGCCTTGGGCATGGTAGGGGCGACCAGTGTGTCTTTGAGAACTCTTAGGCCGACTAGGTTTCCCTGTGCTCCACTGTAATGCAAAGCCATTTCATATACCTCTTTACTACTGTATGAGGTCATAAATGCAATGCAATTCACAGAAAAAAATAAGGCATTCTATCTTGCTTTCTTGGGTTATAACATTTATTAAAGGCCTATAGGAATAGGAAAATAACTGTGCTATTCAAATTAAACATAACTTATTTCTTTTAGGGAAACAACTGTTTGAAACAGATCATAATCTTGACACATCTGATATCCAGTTCTTGGAGGATGGTAAGACAGTGTTAGATTTCCACATTTATATGACGTGCTTCCTTCGTTTTATCCAAGAAAATCAGAGGGGTTAACATTTAATTAAAATTTTTCCTCTCAAAGCTGTTAAAAGATATATATATTTTGAGGATTAAATCATTAAATCCTAATGATTTATTTGCTTATATATTATATATCATGCGTTGTAAACCCACTGCCTTTAAATTGGCGTTTCCAAAATCCATGTTGAATCATGACATCTGTCTCCTTAAATTCCTGTGGTGGTTTCTACTGCACAGTTAAAAAGGTTTCCTTATTGGTCTTTTTCAATGTGTCCTTTATCTATCTAAATTGCCTTCCGGTTAGAAACATTCACTGAATAAGTTAACTCTTCTTTCCTCTTGCTTAAAATTCTGTGTGGAATTTATGCTTCATCTTTTTCTTCTTGGACGGATTCAAATTTATCAAATATTTCAGACTTAGTGTGCTTTATGAAGACTGCTCTTAGCAGATTGTATTTTATTGTTAACTGTGTAGAGGCGTGAAGCAACATTCATTCCTTTTTTCTTTTCACTATCAGTGGGCTAGGGTCTAAGAGGGGAAGAAGATGACAGTTTGTAGTGAAACTAAAGAGTGATAACGCAGAACCTGAGGATTGCTTCCCCCAAAGCTTAAAATTTTTAATCTTGGAAAGGCATATTATCAGTACAAAGCATACTGGATAAGCATAAAGATGAATTAACTCTCTGGAGGCTGGCACAGTGGCATACAGGCTAATCTGCAGCCTGCATTGCTGGCATTCCTTCTGTATTGGTGCATGCTCATTTCCTTGCTGTTCTTACTACTTTTTTTTTTTTTTTTTTAAGATTTGTTATTTTTATTAGAAAGGCAGATACACAGGAGGAGAGACAGAAAGATCTTCCATTTGCTGGTTCACTTCACAAATGGTTGCAATGGCTGGGCTGATCCAAACCAGAGCCAGGAGCTTCTTGCAGGTCTCCCATCGGGGTGCAGGGTTCCAAGGCTTTGACTGCCCTTGACTCTTTTGCGGGCCACAAGCAGGGAGCTAGAAGGGAAGTGGAGCAGCCAGGTCATGAACCAGAGCCTACATGGGATTCTGGTGCATACAAGGCCAGGAATTAGCCACTAGGGTACCCTGCTGGCCCCTCTTTTTTTTTTTTTTTTTTTTAAAGATTTATTTTTATTGGAAAGGCAGATTTACAGAGAGAAGGATAGACAGAAAGATACTGCTTTTGTTGGTTCACTCCCCAAGTGGCCACAGTGGCCAGAGCTGAGCAAATCTGAAAGCAGGAGCTAGGAGCTTCTTCCAGGTTTCCCACATAGGTTCATGGTCCCAAGGCTTTAAGGCATTCTCCACAGCTTTCCTAGGCCATAAATAGGGAGCTGGATGGGAAGTGGAGCAACTGGAAAATGAAGCAGCACCCATATATGATGCTGGCATTGCAAGGCAAGGATTTAGCCATTGAGCCATCATGCTGTGCCTTGCTACACTACTTTTGTTCGAGCTCTCTATTTATGACTTGGGAGAGCAGTGGAGGATGGCTCAAGTCTTGGGCACCACCCATGTGGGAGACTAGGGATTTTTAGCTTTAGCTAGAGCTTGGTTCACGCTTCACTAAGGTTTGATTTTAGAGTAGGCCCCAGTCTATCTGGTAGATGACCTCACCTTATTGAGGGAGACCAGATCCTTAAATCTCTCCTGGTTATGTATGGGAAGATGATCAAGGTGGAGGCATGCCTCCTTTTGGTTAGATCACTGTCATGCACCGGGATAGATATTTGAAATGCTGGCATCTAGGCCTGGTTGCCCTAAAGACCATGGAGATAGGGGCTTATAGGCCTGCTAATTAGGGTCATTTACTTCGAACTAGTCTGCCCAGCACCTAGGAGGACAGCAACTGAAATTATTGATGAATGTGTTTACTAATATGTGCTGTAACCTGTAAGTAATCTCAGACCCTCAGATTTATGCAAAATTTGATTTGTATACCTAGAATAGAAGTGGACTCAGAAGGTTGTTTTGGGCTCTCGTGCCTGGATTGTGTGTTCAGTCAACCTTGGTCTGCACTGTTTTCTTTTTCTTGTGTTATTCACTCTTAATTCTTATTTCTAATTCATTCTTTCAGTGCCTGTCTCTCAGCCTTGTACCTTGTAGGACTGTTAAGTGCTGGCACAGGATAGGGGACCCAGAGGAGGCTCCTGGGTTTGGGCCAGTTCAACTCTGAATGTTGTGGCCGAATGGGGAGAGAACTAGTGGATGGAGGATCGATTGACTGTTGAATCTATCTATCTACCTATCTTTTCCTCTCTATATAAATGTACTTTTCAAATAAAAATAATGTTAAAATATTAACTTTCTGAGTTAGTTGAGTGTCAGTGATGTGCAGTTGTATTAGAAGAGAAAATGCTTGGTATGGGTCTCGTGGTCAGAGATAATCCATCTTGTTTAACCAGGACAACAGCAGCATGTTTGTCTCCAACTTATACTAGCATGTCATGTTATGAATCATAATAGGCCTTTTTTTTAATAACCGGTCATTAGGTTGTAAACCTGAAAAATGATGTTGGCTCTGAAAAGGCCACCTACTGCTGACTAATCCACGTCATTGTTGATATGGCTGCCATAGTACTTTGAGATTTCATCACTTATATTGCCATATGCATATCTGAAAGTTGCCTTTTTGGTACTACAGTGAGTAGTTTCATTCATTCCTGAATATAAGGCTGAATGTGGTTTTGCTTGCTTGTTTGCAGCCGGCAACAACGTGGAAGTAGATGAGTCCTTGTTCCAGGAAATGGATGACTTGGAGCTGGAGGATGATGACGATGATCCAGACTATAATCCTGCTGACCCAGGAAGTGATTCAGCTGACTAATGGACTGACCCCTTCTGCAGAGAGGCTTGACTGCCACAGCATCTGTGGCTTAGCTGAGAGGGTTTTGATTTTCCTTTCTTTTTTTCTAAGAAAAAATAATTTTCAGGAGAATGTTCTTCTGATGGCTTTCATCATTGAACTTAATAAACCAACTTTAAAATTTCAAATGTGAAATGCTTAGTTCCTTATTGATGAGCACAGGGTTACGTATTTGAAAGCATGCCGTGTTGAGAGGTCCTGCCTCTGATCACAAGGTGTGGAAGCAGGCCGCCACTGTGGTTTGGATTCACTTGGAGCTTCTGTGCTGGAGACACTGAAATGTTTTTGCACTACTATATCATCATTCATATAAGAATTAGAAGCCTGGCTAAAAGGAACTTTAAACCTTCTGGGGTTTAGCCTCCAGACACACAAAAAAAATTGTCTTAAAAGGCAGAAGCTTATAATCTGCAATAAAACATATTTTAATCTTATAAAATGGTTGACTCAAAATCATTTTGTTAAGTTTAGATTTATAAACACTTAGTAGTAATCTAAATTTTAAAATAACACAATCTCAAATTCTGATGCACATTCCTAATTTATGACTCCTGTGCTACAAATGTGAAGTCTGTGTGTTTGCTGTTTTTCCCTATGTTCTTGTAATTAGCCATTCTAAAAGAATTTGGATTACTGAAATTGTACCCTGCCTTCAAGAGAAACACATATCCACATCCATGCATGCGTAACTTCTCCTTCTGATAATCTGAGGCAGCTGACTTGGGATTTCCAGTGAGGAGAGCCAGGCTTCATGCTGGCTGTCCTGCATTAACTATTAAACCCAGCTGGAAATTGCTTGTGATTTTTGCTAGTAGCTGCTTCTAGGCAGAAGTTTATATATCATGTGCTGACAAACAGAAAATATCATGTTTATTTTTAAATTAGACTTTATAGTTAAAAGCAAATTATTATGATAAAAGTATCTTGGGAGTTTAATCCTTTTTAGGAATCTCTTAGTCAGTCTTGGCCACCAGACCAATAGAATCAAACAGCAGTGATGTTCATTTCTAAATAGAAATGTGCAGGCTTGTGTTATGTGAGATGATTGGCAAATGTATAAGAATCTGGAAGAAGCCCTCCAATTAAGGTTAAAAAAAAAAAAAAAAGAAAAAAGCAGCAGTCAGCATTGTGGTGGCTGTAAAGATGACTTTACATGGAAGAGTCAAGAATGTTGCTTCCTCCCCTTCACATGGGTTTTAAGGGTTGATTTTATACATTTCCTCCAGGTATTAAAGTGGATTTTCTTTTTGTTACTTCAGGATGCAGATAGAGCCAAAAGAAGACAACTTGGTTAGTTCCAATAACATTTCCAAGTCTTTTCATCTGGAGTGAATACTAACTTTGCATAATTTGCACTCTGAAATAACTTAAGTTTCTTGCTTATCACATTGGAGTGCACTTAGGATGTGCAACAGCGTGGCCATTAGTACTTGCAGCAATAATCTGTCTTTGTTGTCAGTTTTGTTCTTGGATTTCAGAAACATTTTGTTTTTGTTTTTCTACTTGTGTGAAGTTGTATAAAAACGTAGCGTGTAACCAGTGTATCCTCACCAGTATATCTGTGTAACAATGTCTAGCAGAGGGCAGTCACTTAATTTGTTGAGTGAATATATATTATGGAATGTTTATGTACTTTTAAAGAAAAAAACGTGAAGAGTGCTTCAAAGAAATTCTCTCTTTACCGTTTGTATTTTTGGATATTGTTCCTGCCTATCGCATTGCTTCATGCTGTTCTGCCAGCAGAGATGTGTTAGGGGGAAAGCTGTGTAAATGCTGTTCTGAGGCAACAGATGTAAATGGTTAGTTGAAAACATTTGCTGTTTGAGGGTCAAGAAGAGTGATCAGTAACATGAATGGAAAGGATGTATTCATCGAAAAGTCACAGACTCCAAAAATAAATGAATATATTTCAAGAAGCAAAGAGATGTTTTCTTGGAATACAGAAAATAATGGTTATTTTAAGCATTTGTGTGCCAACCCTTCCTTACATGGTATGAAGTACAAGGTTGGCAAAGTAGCGCTTGTAGCTCCCAAAGTCTGTCTTGCTGAGTATATGTCAAACGGCAGAGGTAGGAAGCATTGTCTCTGCAGTCGCGTTTCAGAATGATCACACATGTCAGGAACTGCGAGGCTGATGAATTTTTAGTGTTTATTTCCATTTCCCTGAAAGGCAGAAGGAGAGCTTTTCCATGTCTTGGTCACTCCTCAGATACATCCAAGGCTGGAGCCACGCTGAAGCCGGGAGTCTGAGTCCTACAAATGATTTCAGCGTTGTATGAGATTGTGCAGCATTTTCATATAACCTGTGTACATCCTCTTGCATTTTAAATTATCAATGCTTAATATATCTAATGCATAGTAAATGCTATGTTAATCAGTGTGCTGTATTGCTTAGGAAATAACGACAAAGAAATAGTGTGGACATATTCTGGACAATTTTCCCTTCCCTGCATGGCCAGTACTGTATGATTTGCAAGACCCACAAATAGAGGAGCCGATTGAAGTCCCATCTATTTTAACATGCCAGATATTGACAGATGGGTGCCTTTTTTTCTAGTCATTTTTGTCCCTTAAGTTAGATCTGTTGCCTTACCACTTTATTGATAGGAATAAACTCATGCCTATTAGGGAACAGGCTCTCCCTAATACTTGAGTGATTTAGTAGATGAAATCTTTTGTACTACTTTAAAAAATTATTAGAAAGGAGGAGAGACGGGAAGATCTTCTGTTTGCTGATTCACTCCCCAAGTGACACAACTGCCGAAGCTGACCCAATCCAAAACCAGGAGGAGCCTGAAGCCCCTTCTGGGTCTCCAATGCTGGTGTAGGGTCCAAGGCTTTGGCTGTCCTCAGCTGCTTTCCCAGGCCACAAGCAGGAAGCTGGATGGGAAGTGGGGCTGCTGGGATATGTACCAATTCCCATATGGGATCCTGGCACACGCAAAGTGAGTACTTTAGCCACTAGGATATCACACCAGGCCCCTGTTTTTGTACTACTCTTTAAAGGTACTGTAATTTCTTTTTCCTACTTTCCTTTTTTTTTTTTAAAAAAGATTTCTTTACTTATTTAGAGGAGTTATAAGGGGAGAATTTTTCATCCACTGATCCATTACCCCAATGCACTGCACTGGACCAAGCAGAAGCTAGGAGCTAAGAGTTACTTTCAGGTCTGTCACAGGCGGTAGGGGCTTAAACACTGAAGTCATCCTGTTCTGCTTTCCCCAGGCCATAAGCAGCTAATGGAGCAGCTGGAACATAAACTGGTGCCGTATGGGATGTTGGCATCGCGATGGCAGGCAGGTCTTCTCACTATGCCAACACTGGCTCCAATGTACTGTTATTTCTAAAGGACACAGATGGTTAGGTATATAGACTGCAATCACTACAGATTTATCCTAGAAAAGCATAACCTTCCCCATTTAGGAAAACATGACTAAAAATACTTAATATAACTGCATAAATCTTTGGAAAATTGCTATACACACACTCTAATTTCCATGGACCATTATTTTACAAGTTGTAAAACCAGTAATTGAAATAATTATGTACAAGAATAATAGTCTGCCTATCAGAAAGGCGCCCAACAGCATGTGTGTGAGCTGGATAGTGGAGCTGGTTAGGTTGAACTAGGCTTCAATGCCCATTGACATCTATGAGAGTTGAATGGGATGTGGGACAGACTGGACTAGTCTGCTGCACATACTGGTAAGCATGGGAACCAGGACAGGAGGTGGGCCTGGTGGGGGTTATTGTGGGTCGCTCCGTCTAGGTTGCAGCTCCCACTGGTTTATGTGAGGACCAAGTGTGTGCTGGGCAGAATCAGGCTGGACTGCAACACCCATTGTTTCCAGTGAAAGCGCTGGAAACAGAACTGATCCAGCAATTGCAACCACCAGCTGATTGGGTCGATGTACTGTGCCGGGCCCTGTACTTGCAAGTACACACAAGAATCTGGTCTGGGATCACCTCAGACAAAGTTTCTTTTGGGATCTCCCCAATTGAACTGCTGGACTCAGAACACCAACCAAGAAGAGAAGTGCAGTTTCCATGGTCTGCCATGGAGTCCAAGTGCCAGAACCAAGCCTCGTAAGAGGCTCAGATGGAGCAGTGGAGAGCGTAACCAGGTGCACGTGGAGGATATGGTAGTCAATTGGAACCTGTAGAGGATACCTGGCACCACAATAGAGGGCAGAACAAATCAATCAACCACCCCAGACACATGCTGGCAGTAAAAACCTGGGCAAATGGATTCTGCAGCTACCTCATTGTGCTTGGAATGGTGAGACTGGCAGCAGTTCAGAACTGTTGAATTAACAAAACCTTCTGAGCAAGACCCTCGGAGCATGCCCCACATCAGGGACCTGGGATGGGTGGGAGATTGGGTGGGGCCTCTCTCTTTATCTCCCCTTTTGCCCCAGAAACAGGAAAAAAAATGTGGAATAATAGAATTACCCACTTTTTTGTAGCCCTTGAACCTTTGTGCCCTAATTAACTATGTAAAATTGTCAAAAATAAAGAAGAAAATGGGAAAAAAAGAACAGCCTGCCTAAAATTTCATCAAAATTTTTTTTTATGCCATAATGCATTTGACCTAATTGTATTCAAATTATTTTCAACTGAAGATATTCCCATATGGTAGATAGTGGACCAGTTACACATGGCACACACAGTCCTGCTTGTGAGATCTTCCTGCTGTGGGAGAGAAACGTAGTCCTGGGAGCAAATTACTCAGGATGTGCTGAGGTTGCAGATGGTTAAGCGCATCTGCTTAAAAGGAGGTGTGTGAAAAATGAACAGTTGCAGGAGAGGAGGCGCGCTTTCTTCGCCTTTATAGCTAGGTAGAGCTTCTGTATACTAAATAATTCTATTGCATGACTAAATGAAATTAAGAGTGCAGGCAAAACACGTTTACAATGATGTACGTTAGAATTTGTGTTGGATGGAAAAATAATTTCTGAGGAGGCATATGTGTGGGGATAAATGGAGTAGAAATCTCCCTCAAAAAAAGTCAAAGATAATTATTCCTAACAAAAATAAGGGGAGGAGAAAATTGTGTGATAAAGCCGACGCTGGAAGAGTAAGGGAACTGAGGATTTCTGAGAAGTTCTTGCAAGGCAATCTGTGAGCT